CGACACCTGCTTCAAGGCACTCGATGATGCGTGGTTCGATCGCGGTAACACGGGCACCCCGCCCCGCTGGTCAAACATCACCCCTCGCCCCTCCCTCGCTGATGTGAAGGCCCTCCTTTCCTTCTTGCTAGTGCACCTCCAGCTTGCTGCCTCCTCCATCCTCCCTCCCTTGTCGCAGCAGCTGCTCCAGTTCCAGCAGTTCCAGCAGTTCCAGCAGCAGCAGCAGCAGCAGCCACAGCAGCAGCTGTGGGGCGCCGGCGGCCAGGCGGCTGCAGCAGCAGCCGGTGCCGCTGTCGCCACTGCTGATTAGCAGCAGCAGCAGCTCGGTCTCGGCTCCGCCGCCATGGCCACCCCCGCCTCCACCGGCCCCCCTGGCTACCCCCTCTGGGGATCCATCCCCTCTGCTTCCCCCAGTGGCCTTGCCACTGCCACTTTCCAGACTATGTGCAGCAGTCTCCTCTCGCCTCCTCCACGGCCTCCCCCTTTCCGTCCCTCCTCTCCCCTCCTCTCCTACCCCCGCCTGCTCCTCTTGCATCCATGGCAAGCTAAAGCAGCTCCCCCATCACAGCCATCACTCCTTTGCTGCCTCCCCCATTGATCTCGTTCACATGGATCTCTGGGGACCCAAGCCCTCCCCCTCCCCCCACGGCCATAGGTACATGCTGGTTTTTGTTGATGACCACAGTCACTACTCTTCAGTTTTCCTCCTCCATACGAAAGCTGAGGCAGCCGCTGTCATCATCCGATGGGCTGAGCAAGCTCGCACTCATTTCGGCCGCCCTGTTCGATTGATACAAGGCGCTTTTATACTTCCGAGGTACGTCAGGTAACCAGGTTTATCCTATCCAAAGAGAATAGACCCTTCTAGAAATAGAATCACCCTGCGTATAGCCATGCGAGGCTATTGGCTTTAAGGGATTACGACAGGATTACGCTAGATAGAGCGCGCCAGTACATCCCAAGCCTGGTCGGTGATGTAGTTATAATAATAAGATAAACAAAAAAATAATGGGAAAGGAGGAAGAGGAACCCAAATGAGATGAGATAAATACCAAATGGATCTGGGTAAGAAGAAGAATGAGATAGCGGAGATACATGAAAATGAGAAAGAAGTGTACTGCTACTGCTGCCTAGCTGAGAACGGCCGACTGTGAATATCTCTGTCTGCCAAGTGTCACAAGATCAAAATGTGTCGAGGAAAGGTTTCACTATTGAACCAGTGCTCCTTCATAGTTCTACGGTACATCCGTGAGATCAGGATAGGTTTCCTAGAAGAACGGACTATTTTGATTTTTTCTAGGACACTAGTGACTACCTAGAATACTCCTTTTAATCACTTGGAGTATCGTATCCAAACTGGTTATTTGGATTATTCTTGGTTATCACAACTGTATAAGTTTTCTAGATGAGCTATTGCATGCACCGAGTGTTCTTTGTATTTCGGCGAACTGTCTAGTAGATATTTGATTTCAGAGAGAATGGGTTCCTTTCTGGTGCATGTACGTTTTAGCTAGACTCGCACCCCACTCGAGGGATGTCGCAAGTGCTCGCATATAGATTGTAATGTTTACATTCTCACGCACTAGGCATAGCACATTCGATCTTACGAAGCTTGATATCAGAGCCTAAACTGCTTTTAGCGACCAAGGCTTCAAAAACCGCACGGATGAGCCAGTTCAAGCCGAGGCCGACAAGTAAGTACGGAATCGGAGTTTTGCAACTTATCCCTTAAGTTTTTTTTTTTATGTCGACACAGGCGCAGGAAGCAGATTCGAACACATGCTAAGAGGAGATCACACAGTTACGTGGCAAACTTGCTCAAGCACACCTAGCAGCAGCGACAACATCGCAGCAGTAATCAACGAGCCAACCCGAGGCTCGTCGTTTTTGTGCACATGAACCGTTCGACCCTAGCGACAGATCGTGCGACATTTGTCGATGGATCGCAGCCATTGAAATTCACGTTGCGGCGTTTGGATGATTGCAGTAATGCTCATGAGCGGCCCAGCTCTCAAATGGATCTTCAACAATAGTCAAGTGCTACAGTGTGAAGCCACATGGAAGTAGTTTCATGACGGACCACTTACCCATTTCGAGCCCATAAATCTGACCTACATTGTGCAGAAAAAAAGATTATCAATCGTACCTGGCGGGGCTGAAACCAGACATGCGACGACATGTGGCAACAGCAAACTACAGTAACTACCACGACCTGGTCTTTACCGGCGAATGATTTGACATGTTCCGGAGTAACGACACACAATGCTCGGTTGAACATGGCCCTCAAAACCATGACTGATACAAGCGCTTGGCATTTCCCACGACAGCTGACCCTGCCGAGGTGAAACGGTGTGACGTTCCTCAGGATACACGACCCCTGCGCTGAAAACCCCATGCTGAAACCCTCACACTGAAGACTTTACCGTCGTTAGCCGGGCACGTAAGCCAGCTGAAGTGTCGGGGGCGTTGCACTTCTCCACCCACCCCGAAATCCAATCGGGCGGCTGACCCTTGGGGCCGAGCCAGGGCACCGGCTGCCTCGGATCTGGTCCTGCTGACGTAGTTCGATGGGGACCGCCTGACACACCCTAGGACCATCTGACAAGGCAGCGGAGTGGGCTGGGGCCAGACGCATCGCCGGGGCCAGGCGCGCATGTACCTGCTCCCCATTTGATTTTTTCTGCAGTGCGTATACAACTCATTTTGTGTACCATATAATAAAAAAAATGGATGTGCCTTGTGGGGCTTTGTACACCATGCATCGAACGACGAATGTGTCATCGAGGGGAATGCATGAAAGCGGGACGCATGTCAGGCTCAGAAAACCTAAGCTACAAACACACGCACTTCAGTTGGGAGGCCCGGCCCTGGCAAGAGGCCGTAGTGGGGGTATAGGGCTGTCTAAGGTCCTCATTTCTCATTTTCCGCTTGGTATTCTGCAATCTCCATTCTGCACTGCTGCCTCTTCTTCTCTAACTTCTTTAGGTGGGCCTTTTGGGTCTTGTTTTGCTTGGTTTTGGGAGCATCGGTCCTGGTATGCCCATGGTAGCCCATGTTCTGTCATAGGCAATTCACACAGGTGCATAGGGAATGCAGTGCGTGGGGTTTGTGCGTGGTTTTACATATACACAAGATTGGTTTAGACTCACATTTACCTTCTCCGCATTTATATCAAGTGCTGTCCTCAATACGCTGATATTTTTATGCGTCATCGTTTGTGTCCTCCTCCTTGACGCGTCCTATTTCACGCATCCTCGTCCATATGTCCAGTTTTTTTCATCTTGTTGAATGTGGACATTTCAGGAGCCGCTTTCTGTTGTTGCCCGCTCTAAGCGTGTATGCTGCTTCCTGTATTAACCATCACCAATGGTGTCCAATCCACGCATCACAGTGCACCTCCCATACCATACGCGTTCGCGCTAGCTTCAGTTCCCCTCGTACAAGGATGGCCCGTAAAACTTGAGTTGTCTGATCCCGTGGAGTGTCTGAATAAGTATGATGTGGTTCTGGAGAATGGTTTTGCTGTTGCCAAGCTTGAAGGGCCCGACAAGAAGATTCTCCTAGACGAGAGTACTGATTTCAACCGTGCCTGCCTGGAGTTCGCGTGCATGTGAGTCTTCCGCCCAAGGATGCCAGTTTTGTGCTGGGCGTGGATGCAAATGCTGCAGTGTACTCTTGTTCATCGAGTGAACACGTTAACGTCTCCTCACCCACAGTTGTGAGCTCCGGAAGTTTGGAGGAGAGCGCGAGTAGACCACGGCAATCTTCAGGGATGAGTGCATGACTGCCCTCTGAGTGGGAACGACCATGGCAGCGGCGATGAATTGTTGAAGCGGGAGCTGCTTGCTTTTCCCTTGTGGTCCGTGTGACTAATATCACGCATGTTGGGTTGTTCTTTACTAGTACACGTCTCACCAATAACTCAATTGTGAAGGCTTGCTTAGGCTATATTGCGAAGGCAGTGTGCTTCATTCAAGAAGGGTAGTATACCGTTCTCCTCCAACATGGGATACTACAACTGACAAGGGTGGGAGGGTGGGAAATCAAACTACAAGCTAAAAATGAAGAATGTGGGTGAGGCCAAATAGCCTCATGTCCCTCTTTTGTAGGCAAAAGAGGGTGAGTAACGCTTTGTCGCTACCTTTGCTTTTCTGGCCATGTCTTCACTTTCATAATTTATAATTTTATAAAAGTGTGTTTCAGTTAATGATCACATGCTTAGGCCATCTTGCAAGGCAGCATGCTTCATTCCAGATGGGGCTGCTGAGGCATGTGCATGCAGGGTCGACGGTGTCGCTTGATGGACTGCTGGTGCACTACAAGGGATAGTGCCACCGCAGGATCCTGGAGCTGGGTGGAAACAGCGATGAGCTGGTCTTGTGTGATCGTAACATAGAGCTCCTTAACGGTGTCACTACGCTAACGGCCCGTGCGTTTGAAGAGCCGATCGGGCACACCGAGCATGGCTGAAATGGGTGGCGTCAAGGCCTGCTGAGGTGAAGGCCTCGAGGCACCAGCTGCGAATGGTGGTGTACGAAAGTGGGCTGTCTTGGGGCGTTGCTTTGGCACCCCTGCCAAAGACTCGCATAAGCGGCCCCCCGGGCAATCCAGTGAAGCCGGCGAGGTTGAGAAAGTGTTGGGTACATACACCAAACAAGGCAAAAGGGTCCCGGGGCGGCTGCGACCGGAATCCATCGGGGATCGATCAGATCCGAATAACGGAGAAATGTCGCAAGCATGAGAAGCGGAATGAGGCCTTTTTGGTATTTGTCGGGGCTTGCTGACTCGAGAAATGGGCGAGCCATGTTGTGCACCTGGCGAAGCGATAGTTCCTTGGTCCATGCAGGGCGAGGCTCATGCAAGATGAAGGGACCACACGTGGTGAGGGTTCCATAGTCATGCGATGGGCAAAGACCACAGCCGCGCAGGTGAGGTTGATCGGCGAGAGAGTGGCGTGATGATTGAGCGCGTGGGTGAGATACTGTAGAGCTTGAGCATCATGTCCAACACAGGTAGAAAGTGAAGCTTAACTGGGGTGCAGAATGATAAAAATATCAGCAAATATGGTTCGTATGTCTAGATTGTGGATGGTGCGCAGACGTTGGTGATTACTTGCAGTAATTGCTGCTGGAGCTTAGGCAATATGCCTGGAAAATGTCTACGGTATTACACATTGTACTCGAATTGCAAGACAATAATAGGGCAGTGGGGCAATCCTATGCCTGATAATGCCTCTGCGTGAGAATGACGATCAGCGTCAGGGTACTCTGCGTATGCTGTGCATGATGGAGGGTGGCAGGGATCAGGTTGGGGGGCAGGAAGGCGAAGCCTCTCTTGCTCATCCAGCAAATGGAGAACGCGTCAATCGCAGTTGCACAGGGGTGTGGTATTTTAGCGGAAAACCGTGGTAGTTAGCTTTTGTGCGCGTTTGCAAACGGGTCGATTGAATGCGGGCCCCAACGTCGTTCCAACATGCGGAACCATGGTGCGTGGAGCGAGCAATCTTCGCTCAAGAGTTCGTCGCCATAAGCGTTGAGCTCCCGCAGAATCCATTCAATCACGAGGCACGAGGGGGTTTCAAGTGCAGAGGCCAATTATTGCTTGGCAATGTAAATGCTGACCGGTGGGAGCAGGCCTTGCAGAGGATGAATTGACTCCTTGATTGTCGACACAAATGAGCACATGGCTACAAACCAGCTGACTCACGAAAGTGCGGAGCGCCCAATGAACTCCTTTGAGCTCCCAGCATGTGCTTGAGGTTTGGAGGAGGGCGTCCGGCATTCTGTTGCTTTCCTCAGATGGGGTTCCTGGGAACCGCATAAGAGTAGCGCCCCAGCTATGTGTGCAGGTGTCAACGTGGAAAACAGCATCGAACTGGTGGCGTAAGTGGAATGGGGTGCCATTGAATTGGTCAAAGTGGGTTTGTCAGAAGGTCAATTCTTGAATTGCTTGTGGTGGCAGGCAGGCCTTCGCATTCCGTGGCGTGGCTTCCGCGACCAGGCGTAGTAATTCATGACTCGCGCATGCCGTCGTGCCGTGCGCAAGGGCCGTGGATGATGAGGCGACATTTGTCGCACTGCTCGACCACATTGAGAGGGCTGATGCTTGTGAGCGCAGCTCTTGACGAGATCTTCATACCAGCACAGGTTGAGAGGAGATTTTGAATGACATCTCGGGTGAATGTGGTGTGCGCGCGGATGCCCGCATGGTTAGCGTCCTCGAATAGGATGGGTGTTTCATTCTTCCATGGAATCCAGAATCCCATGGCAATGATGGAGAGGATGAATCTGCGTTCGCACCATGAGCACGACCAGTGCAGTTCGTGCCGCACATGGCTGCGCATGATTGTTACCAATTTGTCGGTAACAACGTACCCGTACTTGGTCCCACTCTCTGACAAATGGTTTGTAGCCAAGGGCTGCATGTATGGGCGGCCCAGAAAAGTGGAAAGGGCAGGGAAGGGTTGACAAATAGTCCGAACATGCGAGGTGTCCAGTACATGGTGTGTTTTCTCTTGCCTCTTTCCGGCAGGTGTGCCAAACAAGCATCCTCTCTCTCTCTCTCTCTCTCTCTCTCTCTCTCTCTCTCTCTCTCTCTCTCTCTCTCTCTCTCTCTCTTTCTCTCTCTCTCTCTCTCTCTATTTCTCTCTCTCTCTTTCTCTCTCTCTCTCTCTCTCTCTCTCTCTCTCTCTCTCTCTCTCTCTCTCTCTCTCTCTTCTCTCTCTCTCTCTCTCTCTCTCTCTCTCTCTCTCTCTCTCTCTCTCTCTCTCTCTCACACACACACACACACACACACACACACACACACACACACATACACACACACTTTGGGCGGCACCAGGTCCTTGCCATCCTCGTATTGCCTCAGCACCGTATCATATTACCAGTGCAGCAGCACAAAGAGGTGACCAACAGGCCAGAATTCTGGTTTGTTTTTCTGCTCCGATACGTGATCGTGATAAGCATGGCCTCCCTGAGTGGATCCATCTCCGACAGACTGCACATCCTGTGAATGATGATGTTTGGCAGCTGCGTGTTGCGCACGGTCCCAGCGTATGCGAGCATGCGAGGGCACAACAGCATCATCACCCGAGCCGTCAAAAAACAGTGTAGCATGATCAATGGTTGAGGGGCTTGTGGTACAAACCGTTCTACTGCGTCAGATGGGTAGCCAACCTGCATGAGCAGCCTGAACTTTACGATGGTGTACGTGTCTGCATTCGTGCCCATGTGGCAATTGATGTTATCCCTGCGCCATGTTTCACCACTGAGAAAAAAAAAAAAAAAAAAAAAAAAAAAAAAAAAACCTATAGGAAAAACGCGTGATTCATGCAGTGCAAAAAGCGTGAGACTGTGATTTGCAAGTTTAGTTTACACGCGTTAATTCTTTAAAACGCCTGTACTGCTGCCGAACCATGAGCAAAACAAGGACGCGGATGACAAAGATGTCCTATGTCAGATATTCGTCGTCGAATAGCGAGGCCTCAGTTCTTGCTAGGAAGTTCACTGCTCGGAAACATGGCAACGTGGCCCTGATTGGCTGCACAAGGTTCAAGGTTGCCAGAAATAGCCGCTTGCTCTGGCATCTCGGTCTTGCAGTACGAGATGAACATCTTGGTCTTGAAGTACGAGATGAACATCTTGAGCCTCCATCTCGTGAGTTTGGGCCGTTGCAGCCACATCTCCTCTTTTGACATGTTATCCCAGTTCTTTCCCAAGTCTTTCTTGACTAGCACACCCACCTCATCTTGAGCAGCCATTTTCACGTCTGCTGGATAGTCTCCTAGAGGCAGCCTCAAGACCTCGTAGAACCACCACCTCTTGTACTAGTGGATTACTCCTAGGTACTACTCGCGGGTCCTTTCCAAAAGCAATTACCACATCTTCCACACGACGATATGGTCGCCTCACTACCAATTACCGCCTAGCCCACAATTCTTGTTCCGGGCCTCCTACAGGGACCTTGTGCAGGTCGCCCCTCCTCCTCCACCTCCTCGCCATCAACGTCATTGTCTGGGTCCAGCTCCCTCTCCACACGTTCTGCTTCCACTGGCAACAAGAGATCGGTGGTCGTGAACCCTGTAGTCTCTCCCCCCCCCCCCCCCCTCTCCTTGCACAGGTTGCTCTCCCACATTGCTAGGTGGCCCGTTCGTCGGCCTGGTTGTGAATTCCATCGGCGCTGACCCATGTTCCGCCACTGGAGTCGGGCCGATTCTGTCGGGCTCTGACGAACACGGGGTCCACTGTGGAGAGAGATCAGCTCCAAAAAGCGGGGTGGACCTTCACGGGCGGGGAGCTTGTTGGTGCTGCATCTGGTTTAGTGCTGTCATGCGAATTTTCACACCAGGCTGTGGTAAATCCTCGTGGAGCTCCACACAAAATTGGTTGCAACACTCGAAACCATGCCTCACGTGCTGCTCATTGCACGCGTGGCACTCCCAACCCTCCAATGACACGTGAATACCCCCAGGTCCTTCCATTTGGGCTTGCCCACCATTGATGCGTGATTTCCCCATGCGTGTCCTGTTAGGCGGGCTGGGTGACTGCGCCTCAAAATGGTCGTCGCAACAGACTATAGTGCACGTGCCATTGTGCTCATCTCTGCTCCATCCCATGCAATCCCACTCCCTGTGGACCCTGCCACCGGTGCGGCGGATGTATGTGCCTCCTCCGCCCTGCGTAAGTACGCTGGGCGCTGGAGTGACTAGAGTGACGGGCGGTTCATGACTGCAAGATCGACCTAGTCCTATTTACGGATCCCCCATGAGTCAACAGCCAGCGTAATGGGCTCCTTTTTCCTTTATACAGACTCCTCCCACCTGCAGGTGTGCGTGTCACCCAAGGCACACAATGTTCCACATATCTTGAGTCAGACATTTTGGGCGAGGTTGCGTGTGCGCCTCAAGACATGCGTTGCAAGAAAAATTGTATGTAAATTTCGCTCTCCAGGTTGCCCTGCCCCGTCAGCCAAGTCGTGCATGCGAAATCCGTGCCCTCTCCAACCGCTGCATGAGCGTGCTCATGCACGTTGCCACATCCTCCTGTGCATGCCAACAGGCACCCGTTAGTCGCCATTGCTTATCACGTGTCCTGCGAAATTTGTCGCTTGGGTTTCACCTACATTTCGTGCACGCCATGCATGGCGTGCCGATTGTTCCTAGCGACGCATGTGATGGCGGACGAACCGACATATGTAACACAGTGAGGCGAGTTACACCAGTACACCCACATGTTTTTCTCGCTTGTCAGTCAGAATTTTTATGGCAAGACTTCAGCAGGGGCAAGCATTGACGAAGTTAACTTCAGCAATGGGCTGCCCCGTGCCCGTGCCCCAACAACTCGCCCTGTGTATATGATGGAGATCGATCGTTTCGACGCACGTCCGCGTTACAACAGAAAATTGCAATGAGATTTATGTGGTATGAACGAGCACAAAATTGCTCAATGCAGCCAGATGATTGCAGCATGAGCAGAATACCGAGCCACGAGCGGCAATGGCACCCCTCGGAATTCGACGAATCTGATGCAAAATAATGGCCACCGCCAGTGATTGCGGATCTACCTGGCGGATCAGTCAAGTTCCAGAAAATCGTTGTCAATGAAGATGAAAATTAGCAGCAGCAGATTGACTGGGTGATGACGAGGAGAAATCATGGTGCGAATCTATGCACCAAGGACCAGATTTTGTCAAGGAAAATTGCCAAAGAGCAGAAAATCTCCGCAAAACTACACCCGACCGATCTAGAAAACCACGGAAAAGTCCCTGTTTCACCTGAGAATAACCTATCTATATCCCATAAAGAAGCTTTACTTCAGAAAAAAATTAAGGGCTCTGCGGCTATCCAAAAAATATGGAAAGGACTCCACATGAAATAGAAACCTTTGGAAATTATTCCAGTGCCAGCTAACCTTCGGGGAAATTTAAAAGTTGCCTTGAGCACCGTTCGCAATGGTGGCTACCCATCTGTTTGCCTTGGGCCCTTCTGGAGCCCGCCCCAGTCTCCCAGGCATCAGCTAGCACCCAGAGTTTACAGCAGAGGCCATTAAAGAGTTGGTCATGACGGGCACCGCTGCTACGTCCTCACGGTGGACACTCACATATGTTAGCCCACTTAATGTAGTGCTAACCCACCAAGAAGTGAATGATCCTGGACTTACGCTACTTAAAGTCCGCTTATACCAATTCCTCTCCATGCACTTTAGCCTTGCAAACGCACCATTCGTCTTCACTCAGCTTATCAAACAGTTGGCCAAACGCTGGCGTAGCCGTGGTATGTGCTTGATCACTTACGTGGGTGATATTTTGCTCATCTGTAATACCCAAGACTCCACCCCCGAAACACGAGCAGCCGTCCTCACGACCTTCACTCAGTTGGGTTTCTAGTAAATTAAAGCCCAGGTCCCAAATTAGTCAGATTGGGATCAAACTGGGCCCAGTTTGATTTTTTGTTTTTTGCCCGAAAAAAAGTGCCCTGACCCTAGTTTCGCCACAGAAGTGACGCGAATGTGCTGTCTCTAAATCTACGGTTGGAATCGAAATTTGTAATTTATGACTCAATGTGTCATTGAGTCCTAGCCGTCAATCAGCCTTTCCAACCCAAGCTCTCGAGATTCAGTGAAGCTGGGTTCCAATTTTCATCTATGGCTGTAATTGTGCTTCCATTTTGGGACTTCATATGCCGTCCGAATCAAGCTGGGCCCAATTTGGAGTCCCAAAACAACAGTGCCCAATTTGGATTTTTTCACACCCAATGATTTCATTTGTTCTCGCCACCTGCCCAACCCACCTACCTCGCGTTGACTTTGTTGCCACATTCCACAACCCCCATACATATGATGTCGTGTTTTTATATCAATGTTAGTGATCACACTTGGGGTGCTGTGTAATCTATACCATTGGTGCAAAGGCCATGAGCACTTCTTGCTGGCTTGGCCTTGGTTCTCCCTCATCGAGCGGTGGTGGGGGCTGCACACCGTTGACCTCTTCGCTTACCCCTCTAACCGGTGCCTCCACACATTCTGTTCCCTGTTTTTTCATCCGTTCTTTCATCCGGAGGCACATTCTGTTCCCCTTTTTTTCATCCGGAGGCACTAACACATTCTAATGGTTGGGGTGGTGCTAACTACGATGCATTCCCCCCGCCACCACTTACTTGTATCGTGCTCACTCATGCTGGCCGCTCTTGTTCGTGCCTCAGTCTAGTTATTCCTAAGTGGCCAAGTGCCTTCAGGTGGTCGCTCATCCAATAGCCATGCCCTATTGGGTCTATATTCAACTCGACCAATAGCCATGGAAACAATATGCCTTGGAGGCTTGGTAGTAGTCACAAAAGCTTCATAGGTCCAGATGAGCTTGCCACAAATGAGGACGCTGATGAAGCTGATGATGTGCAATGCAAACACGCACAAACTTGTAAGGATGTGGATATAGGTACGGAACTTGGTATCATAGGTTCCGTTTGACCGACATATATATTGCATTCCAAACTGACAAATGCGCACTAGGTTTTTGTGAATGAGAATGCATGCTAGCGATTGCGGATCACATTCTGCACGGTGTTCGTAGAGTTTTGAAATATGGGCCACTGTGCATGTTTTTTTAATGGTGGTGCAAGATTTGCAAATCAATCAGGACTGTACACGATCAACTGATTTGTTTTTTTTTCACGCTCAACATGGTATGAACGGTAATGGTATTATAATATTGAAAAATGCTCCCTCTCGATTATGCACCTTTGAAATAGGGGCTATACGCAATACATAGTGCATGGTAGCTTGCCGGCTACCCCCAACCCCTTCTTCTAGAGCCCGCCTTCTTGTCCCCCTGGCAGCCTCCTTTCCAAACTCTGCGACCTGGCGGGTTTCAACGAAATCAATAGGGCACTCTCCAGCCTTGCACATGGGGGGAACGCCAGGAGATGACGGTCTCCCCGGGGACTTTTTCTGGCTGCCTTCACCCCCGTTTTTTACAATTGTTCACAGCCATTTGGCGTCATGAGGAAATCCCTGCCTCCATGCTTGACAAGCAAAACAGCTTTCATCTACTAAAAAGGGGGACTTCACGCTTCTTGAAAATCTTTGCCCGAACACTCTAATGAACTCCGATTATAAGGTTCTGGCCATCTGCCTAGCCAACTGGCTCCAACCCTCCCTTCGCCACATTATCCACCCTTCATAATCAGCTTTTATCAAAGGCTGCTGCACTGGCGGCACCATCAATGACACGCTTGATCTCATGGAATGGGCTCACTTCTACAAAACTCCCTTGCTCACCCTCACAGTCGATATCCAGAAAGCCTATGATCTGGTTGATCGCAGCTTCATGGACCAATGCCTCTCCCACCTCGGCCTCACGACAGAATTTATCACCTGGGCCCATCTCCTTCACACTGACACCTCCACCAGGGTCCTAGTCAACAACTTTGTAGGCGTGGCATTCCCGATATACTCTGGGGTACGTCAAGGATGTCCGTTTGCCCCCCTCCTGTTCATCTGTGTCATTTAGGTGCTTTATCACTATTTGGCAATCTAGCTCCCAAGATTCGCCTTCTCTTCCACTCAACTACGTCTCGCTGCATGCTATGCACATGACATCTCCATTTTTCGTAACTCAAATCAAGAAAATTCACACTGCTACTCAACTCCTCACTTCGGTTGCTGCTGCTGCTGCTGTTGTGACGGCTGCTGCTGCTTCTGCTGCTGCTTCAGGTCGGGGCAGGCAGCCTTGTAGCTTACCTCGAGGGCTGGAGGTGTGCAACGAGCTCATTAATAATGTGGGCTTCCAAGAGCTCGCAGTCTACGTGCTGGCTCACCAGTTGCCGGCGGAGTGCGAGAAGCCAGAGAGCGAAGTCGATCATCCGGCCTTCAGCGTCCAGCCAAGGGACAGGCCCCGACAACGTCGTCATGCCAATAGGGGAGGAAGCGAGGATCTCCAGAAACGAGCAGGAGACTAGTGGAAGGCGCTAGGGGCTACAGGAGCACGAACTGTGGGAGCGGCAGTGGTGGCTGTGGCTGGAGCGGCGGTCTGGCAGATGGCTGCTGGCCGCTGGTGGCTGGGAGCTGGTGTCCGGCAGCTGGCAGTGGGATAGGTGCTGGTGGCGGGCTAGCAGCCAGCTGACCGCGGGCACGCTGCTAGCGAGTGGCTGGCTGGCAGCTGGTAAGTAGCAGTGGCGGCTAGCAGCAGACTGGCGGCAGTG